ACCTCGACCTCCACGGCAGGCTGGAAGAGACAGAGGTACTGATGACAACAAACAGCGTTTACACATTTTTCTGGGTAGCTCAGTGGCTCTGAACAACTGAAACCTGAGACGCAATTGATTAATCTGCACGGCTACGGCAAAAGATATGACAGGTTATGTTCACCTGTGTTTGTAGAAGAAAATATACTCAGAAAAACAGAGATGCATATTCTTAACTGCTTCAAAACTACTTGAGTTGTTGTTGCGGAAGATATTTTTGTGGCTCAGATGCTGAAGACTAAAGCCGCTCTATTGATAGAAAAACAGCAAATTTCCCTCCTTAGTTGCATTTTAATACAGTCAGGGACAGCAACAAGCTCATAAATCTGCTGTACTAGTTTGAGGGTCTGTCCTTTCTTTGTGATCTGATTTTTATTTACAAGGGAATTCTTTCAGTGTTAATCTGCAAAGACAAAAGTCTTATCATATCAAATCACATCTTTTAATCCGCACAATTCAAAGGAACATTTCATTCACTTCGTGCTAGACTGAAGCTCAATACACCTTTTGTATACTCGTCTTAATTGGATAGAGGATTGTGCGCTGGGTCAGAGCTGTTGTAATGTCACCAGGAAGCTGTGAAACTATTTAAGCCTACACATGTCTTTGTCAGAATTTGATCGTCAGAACTCAGGCCTTGGATTTCCTGGACTCAGAGGGTGTTCTTTGTTCGTTGACTATTACTCTGATACTAATTGATCTCACACTGGGAAATTAAAGCATCACGACCGCAAAGAAGAAATGCAAAGTAGATGTGTGGTATAGTAGGTAAATTAAAACTAATACTGCAAACATACAATATGAGCATCCAGTGTATAAAAAAAGATGAGTACAGACATCAGATAGATGTCATCAATACAACATGTTCGTTGACAAAGCAATGCACTAATTGGGCTTCATTTGATCTCAGTGTAAATGAATTCTTTCTAATTATTCTGTTTGTGTGAATTGTGGCACAAAACACGAATTCATATTTACAAGGATGTAGCAATGACGTATTTACCTTTTTGATGGTTTGATCTTGTTTATCATTATTGATATTTAACTACCTTTGAGATCACCTCAGATTTAGACGGTTTCATTACTATGCCACATGTATGTTTTTTGGTTTTTTTTTTTAACATCAAACTTATTAACTCCAGCTTCATGGTTTCGACCGTTTTACCAGAAACAAACCTAAACATTAAATTAAGGAGAAGAAATTAAAAAAAAGGAATATTAATAAGGTCATTCATAGCCATTAGAATCAGTAGTATAAGTGTAAAATTCTAATGTTTCTGCTGTTTGCACATTTTTTTCTCTTTGTATAATACAGATATCAGTAATAGGAGATTATTATTATACAGGTCTAGAGAATACTGCATGGGAATTTCAGCTTCAAAGTGCAATTAGCTAGGAATATGGAAAGGCATATGTGTGTATGTAAATATTTAAATCCACAGTAAGGCTCTGTATAGAGCTGCTGTCGTATGTGGACTTCAAATAGTCTTAACCTTTATTCTTCACTATTCTTCATGCACAGTTGCAGGACCTGGCTGAGACGAGCGGTCTGACAGTAGACTTGGTGCGACATTGGTTTTCTACCAAGGCGCCTTTGCACAGGATGGAACAAACCGCTGCTGCTACTCACACGACGGGAACAAGACCAGTCGCACCGGCAGGCGTGGCAGCCGAGCAACGAACAACAGGATCCTCCCCTCTGGAGCCGCAGCCAGGAGGTGGGACGGAGGAGAAAATGGAGCAGTCGGTGTGCGGTGTCGCAACAGAAGCAGAGGAGGCCAACACTGACAAGACTGTGAATGCTACGAAAGGTAACCTTCATCCCGAAGTAGTATTTATCAGGATTCATACGGTCAACAAAATAATGAATTAAATGGTGAGAAAACTGTGAGAAAAATTACATTTAAACTTCTTTTTCAAACTTCTTTTAGCGGCTAACAGTCCCAAACCTCAAGATATTCAAATTACTGTCACATATGACAAAGAAAAGCAACAAATTGTCATATGTGAGAAGCTGGAAGTAGAAATATTTTACCAAAACAGTTCATTTTCTTTGTTCATTAATCACTGTCGCTCTACAACTGGTTTCATTAGACTTTTTTTTTCAAGTTCGGGGGTATTAAAAGGTGATAAACAGGGCTGAATCACCACCATCATTTTTCACAATTATCTCTCAGGTGACACATAAGTGTTAAGGTGGAACATAAAAACACAGAATGACTGTAATAACGAGTAATGAGGCATGCTGTGACAGGTATTTGTTTCAAACCAGTATATGTCTACCCAGTACACCGGGGATAATATTAAGGGCATTTCTACATGTTTTGCGGAGAATGTTGTCATAGTGACAGATTTTTTTTTTTTGTTTAATTTCTACAGGAACTGATTGAAGAGGCCTTTTGTGTGAGGATGGAGTTCACAGCGCAGGTGGTCTTTGTTCTGGGAGTCTGACTAAAAGACGGCAGATGCGTTTGTAACAGGATCACTGGATGAAAATGGATCTTGAAAGCATCCCCACCCACCCCTCTCCTCCCTCTCTCTCTCTCTCTCTCTCTCTCCCCCCTTCCCCACTCACACCCCTAGAGGTAGGGATGACCTCCCCCGTTACGTGAGATGGACGCTAAAGCCACTTACTCTCTCTACCCACCCATCTGCCCACCGCCTTCCCGTCTTCTCCCGTTTTGTCCAGCCCTCTGCTGAACACACACACACTCCAGTACTCTCCCGTCCGCCATTTTCCCTTCAGAAGGAAGTTCCAGTAGAGACTGAACTGCAGGAGTGGAGGTGGTGTTGGAGGGAGGGAGGGGTGAAGCTGATGGCGTTTTGTTGCCTGCTGTGATGGGAGAAAGGAAGAGAGGAAAAAAAAAAAAAAAGAGGAGGGTTGATGTGGAGGCAGAAGAGGAGGAGGAAGAAAGGGAGAAGTGTGGTCGAGTTTGAGACCTCTGCAGATGCTGATGGGGGTTGGGCTTGGACAGCCATCGGCCGAGCCAGCGCTCAGACAAACTGTTAAAGACTGTACGTTTGTTTTGGGGTACGAAAAGCTGCACAGGTCTTTGCTACAGGGTGCTTGCCTCGGCCTTACAGTAAATCAAATGAACCTTATTTTTTCATTGTCTTCATATACTTTTTCTATCGTGCATTCACAAACTTTGTACTTGCAGCTGACTTTAAATGTGCTAGCTAGACTGCTCACAGCACCGTACGTGAAACACAGCACTGACGTTCATTTGACCACGATGTTAATTTTTAACATCTTTGTTCTCACTTTTAATTCCTTATCTGTACATACTCTTTGTTTAAAACAGATCATGAGGTTGTTTAGTATGGAAAAGACATCTGGAATAGTTTCATCCAAAGAGGGCAAGCACCCTGTTGTGTCTAAAACAAACAACAACAACAACAACAACAAAAAAGGTGACACAATATATTAGACTATATGGAATACGATATGGAAACTCGTATGGTTTGTGTTGTAGCATCAAGTGCTTCTTTACGTCACTGTACGTACATTTGTTTTTATGGAACTTTCTTATTACATAACTTTGATTGTAAAAGAACTGTGAACTTTTACCAGAGTTCCATACTTAGGCTTGATGTATAATTTTTACAAATGGTATTTGCAGAATAAACAGAATGTAATAAATGTGTGGCTGTGCGCATCATTGGCCTAAGCCAGCTCCCCCATATGGTGCACAGCAGTGGAAAGATAATAGAGGAATGTGGGCCAAATGTAACCCTCAAACACAAACACTTGGCCCTGTGATGAAAACTGAAGATTTTAGTTTAGTAGCATTTGAAACCTTTGATGTTAATCTTTTTTTTTTATATATATATATAAATTTGCAGTAAATGTGAAAATACAAGGCTCATTTCATCCCAGTGAGGAGGACCATGTTGCACATTGTTTACACAAACTATAAAACTATATATTGTCTTGTTTTGCAACACAGCATATATACATATTCATGTTGTTTTTTTTCTAAATAACACGCTGCTCACTAATGGTAATAAAATAAAATACAGGTAAATAAAGTCCCCTGTTCTCTGCTCAAAAAAAAAAAAGAAATTTACCACCTAAAGAACAACAATGCTCTGGTTAAATGGGAGTCAGCAGTAAGTGTCCTGTTAAAAGCTACACATAATATTTTCATTTTTAATGTATTTATCTGGGCTGCAAAGTGGTTAGCACCTTCGCCTCACAGCTAGAACATCCCCGGTACACGTCCCGGTTAGGATGCCCGGGATCTTTCTGTATGGAGTTTGCACGTTCTCCCTGTGTATTGTGGGTTCTCTGACTTCCTCCCACAGTCCAAAAACATCAATTCATCCATTATCTATACACCGCTTAATCCTCACTGGGGTCGCGGGGCGGCTGGAGCCTACGCCCAGTTGACTTAGGGTGAAGGCAGGGGGCACCCTGGACAGGTCACCAGTCTATCACAGGGCTACACTTAGAGACAGACAACCAAGCACACTTGTCCAAAAACATGTTGAGGTTAATTGGTGATTCTAAATTGTCCGTAGAGGTCCATAGGTGTATGTCAGTGTGATTGGTTGTCTGTAAGTGTAGCTCTGTGATAGACTGGCGACCTGTCCAGAGTGTCCCCTGAGTCGGCTGGGATAGATAATGGATGGGTGGATGCATTTTTCTGATAATCTAGATTTGTTTGATATATAAAGTTTTACCAATATGGTGCCTTGATGGCACAGGTCTTTAAGGTCCTAACCATAAATTTAAGCTCTTATTCAATAGATTTTCAGCATTGCAACACTTTCATCAACCTCTCAGGCTGCTGTTCACACATCTTGCACTGAAACTACACTATCCGTCTCCTGTGGTACAGTATCTGAAGTTACTGAAACCAGTTCCATGTGCCGCAGCTACAGTAGTTTAACAGGCTATAAATGCTCTGCACTGAATTACATGCACATTTTAAGGAAAAGAAAATAGAACACAGTTGTATAAAGTAGTAAGTATTTTATTTACTTTTCAGGCTTGAATATGTTTCATATGAAAGGCAAAATTAAAATGAATACTTTTCCTCTCCATAGTTTAGGCACATTACAGAAAGGCGATTGTAAATGAGACTGTCACTAACAAAACCGACAAGATTGGAGAAAAAAAATAAAAGCACAAAGAAATTTCAGTTAAGGGCCCTGTGCACCCACACAGCTGCTCTTAGTTATTCTGGTTGATTAGACCTCATTACAGGTTGGTGGGAGGACACTTTATCCCTTTACAACACTAATAGAGTCAGGAACACATCAGTCAAACGTGGTCTATATGTGCTCACACAGTGCTGAGAAGCGATCAGTCAAAATAAATGAAAACACCTGTGTGGGTGGACCATGAGCTGTGCAGGTGTTTTATGCCCACAGGGCAGGTGAAGGATGTGGCTTTAATGTGATGTGTACACAGATGGAGGCACATTGACATCAGCAGACAGGTCAGCAATAAGAACAATGCAGCATTGGAGGGTGAGCTCTCCACAAAGACCATTCATTGACCACTGCAGGAAATATTGAAGTAATACGGAGGAGCTTTGGAATTAATATCGGGGGGTGAAAATGCAACGAGTTTCTAAAGATTTTCTGTGAGACCTCAAGTATTCACACCTGACCCTGCTTTTACCTTAAATCATACCATATGGCTTAATTGTGTCTCAGCGGTCCAACACTGAGCGAGAATATTGAGCTTACATCATATAGTCGTCACATACAAGCAGAGAAAACACTGTTTCTGGTACAGACCTGTTAAGATAACACCGTTGGTTACACGTGAGCTCCGTCTGGGCTCTTTGAAGGCGCAGACCACCTTTGCCAACCGTCAGCCACAGAGACGCAGCTACAACAAAGCTTAGACTCGCCCTGTTCCTCCCCAAAAAAAACGCTCTCGCACCACAAAGTCAGAAAATAACATCTCCCTGCACTTCTAAGGGCACAGACATCATCCTCAAGAGACGTCTTGATTGCCAAGTTAGAAAAAAAAAAACAACTTATGAGTAGAATGAAAGTCGCTATGATCCATCAGTGTTTAATTTTTTTTTTTTTTTGCACATTTCATTACAAATGAATTCACGGGCAGTGGAACTTTAACGAGATCTTACGGCAGTGTAAATTAAATCCTCACAGGTTTCCAGGAAGCAGCTCGGTGCTGTGACCAAATTCACCAAGACGTCACAGCAGCACAAACACAATAGGTTCCTCATGTCTTTGTGGTGCAGCAACATGCACCAGGTGGCATGATGATGATTCTCTTTTTTTTTTTATGCCTTACACTGGCAATGCAAACCTTTTTACAAGGTCACCGTTGGCCAATAATACTGACTTTCTTCTCTAATTCAAATATCGGAAACATATTTTGCAAAATTCTGACAACTGAACAACTTTAACGTCAGAGCAATCAGTAGGAAATAAAACATACTTCTCAAAAATACTAAAAACAGTGACTTTTTTTCCATCCTTGATGATGGGAACAACTACTGTTAACAAATTAAAACACTGAATAAAGTGGCCAGACATTCTGTTAAGAATTGAAATGTCAGTAAAAAAAAAATCCAAGTTTCCAAAACACTGCATCAAAAATCCAGGGAACATAGGGCTGCATAGTTAATCCAGTAATTGTATTACAATCCACATCAAACATTCCCATAATCCCAGTATTTATGGAATAGCAACATATTTTAAACATTTACGATGTCCTGTGTAAATGAATCAAACGCGAATACATATTTATGCTCTCCAAACCCACGGTGACCACCAGCGACTGTAGATAACGATCACATTATTGAGCAGAAAAATCAGGATACATGTATTGAATCTGCAGCCCTGTGAACTGTAACTCTGAGTGACAACTGTGCTGCTATAAAACAAACATGTCAATAGTTGATGATGGCTAAAATTGGGGGAAAGAAACAAAACAATTATCATTCACAATCAGACTACAACCTTTTACAGGTTTAACAATTCTCCCTGGTCCGGCTCATCGCGCAGTGAGGTGTTGGATTCCCTATGAACAGCTTTGAAGAGTAAGACTATCAGCGAGGGAGACAGATGTGTGAATGTGTGGCTTGTAAAGATGCCTGCAATGCAGGGAAATGGAATGATGTGCAGTTGATTGGAATGTAAGTTTGAAATTATAAAAAAGCGTGTTTGTATATTTGCAGACATAACGTATGGTGCTGCCTGCTCTCTCACTACTTCCAACAGGCCCTGACTTCTTCCTGATACCTTGAAACATGTTTTAATATCACTCCAGGTTTAAGGTACGAGTTAAACTGGAGGTGCATAATTTCCTCCACAAAGCAGATAAGAGAGAGACAATAAAAATAGCCGTAGAGAGCCCTCATGTTTTACACATATACATTTAAAAAAAATGAAAAGTCACATTATGAATGTTTAAAGGTTTAAATAATTAGAATAATTAAAAACATGGAGACAGGAGCTCTTTGAGAGCAGGTCAGCTGCTGCTGTTCTCTGGCCGACAGCACAGCAGGAATAAATATATCTATTCATATACGCCAAATAGAGAAGAGCGAAGAAACTTAACTGGAAACAGTTTCCAACTGATACCTTTTATAGCTCTCTCTTTCTCTCCTCTTAGCCTCCAAACCCAGCAGTTGTTGTGCACACCTAAAACACAAGAGAGTGCAACCCGCCTCACAAAACGACCAGTCCAGAGCTGGAACTTTTTTCTGCCTTGCTTTTTGTTCTGCTGTGAATGTCGTTTCTTCTTCCTGTCCGCAGCGGTCAGCTTCCTCTCAGTGACCCCCCCGCCCCTCCGATGTCCGACTCCCTCCCTCTCGTCAGGCGAGCAGTGAGGAGGCTGGGCGGCAGGGAGGAGAGAAAGAGGGGGAGGGAGGGAGAGAAAGAGAAAGAGAGAGAGAGAGGGGTGCGTTTGGAGAATGGAGGGAGGGAGAGCTGCCTGAAATGTAGGCCAAAGCGGTGGTGGGCGTTTCCATGGAAACAGTGTTCACAGCAGTCAGTGACATCATCAGTACAGGGAGAGGAGACTGGGTGGGGGGCTGGGGGTGGTGGTGGTGGTGGTGGGGGGGGGTGCAACTGAAATGCGTCCTGATTGGCTTGGACTTAGACACGGTTGTCTCCGCCCACTCTGGTCCTCCGCAACATCCTGAAGTAAAGACAAAGACAGGAGGATGTCTGGAACCGTCTACGCCCTCGAAACTCGGCACCGGCATGTTAAAAAAAACCCAAAACCAACATGCCACACACTCACCTTCTGTTCTGTGGGTCCATGTGGTCCAGCAGGGCCTCCTGGGACACCCTGAAGTCATCTAGAGGAGACTGGTAGCGGGATTCAAAGGAGCCCTCCCTCCCTCTGTAGGCCATGGCCTGAGCCGGCGACTGGGGCAGAGGAGACATGCTGGAGGAAGACGACACTGAGCTCAGCTCCCCAAAGCGTTCACGTCCTGCCTGGGCTGATGCTGTCACTGACGTGGCGCCGACAACATGGAATGGGCTTTGAACCTCTCTGTTTTCTTCCTGAAAGCACAAAGAGGAGAGCGTGTGAACTCCAGAGGCCTGCGCTCATGTGTCCATGATTTTACAGTCAAATGCAAGCTTAGCAATAATGTCCTATAGGCTTGTTGACATATAGACTAACTTTAAGGAACAGCTAAACATTTTGAAAAACACATCTATGTTGAATGAGAAGAGGGATACCCATTTCAGGTCTGTACTGTAAATGTAAAGGCCAGTTCATGGTATGCGCATGACTGATACAGACTCTGAAAGCAAACAGCAGGTGCACAGGCAGTTCAACTGACACCACCGTACGCATGTCGGTCTGCTACACAGTCTGTCACATTGCCCCTCACATCGAACAGGGGATCCAGTGGATGTTTGTGAAAAGATTCTTGTGGTTTTGAGCTTTTCCAGAATATAGCAGCTGTTTACACACTGGGCCATAGCACCGTCATTGTTGCTGAGGTGCACCAAGCACCGTGGGCAGACGCAGCACGGGATTTCTGGAGAATTTAGAATTTTCCGCAGTGTTTGGGCACAAGCATTTGATAGCACGAACAATTCAAAGCACCTCCAAAGTCCAGCAGCAGCTACTTCAATTCCAGCTCTTCTAATGATGAATTAGGAATGTGTGGATGACACAAAACCTCCTCACACAGTCCTTCTTTATAACAAGCTTGAACACAATTTGTTTTTCTGCAGTCCACGTGCTTGCAGTCACAACTTTTAAGCTGCACGCTGACATCCAATGAGGGAACCTGGGGACCACTTTACACTTTGAAAGCATACAAGAGTATACAGTGAGCATGGACTGGATTGAAGAAATTGATGTAGCATGTAGCCTGCAAAGCGAGGCCAGTGTGGAAGTGCCTTAAACCTGCATTCTTTCTGTTGGTTAGCAGTTGACAACCCTCTGATTCTAGAAACAAGTCAGATTATATTGAGGTCTACAACAAAACGACCCTAATTCTCACCTGATCTGTATTTCAATTTATGGTTTTAATTGTAAGTCTCCTCCTTTAATACAGCATGTTTAGAGTAAATCAGGCGCTACATGGTGTAGCTACTTTGTGACATATCAGTTACTACTGTATGGCTGTGCATGGGTTTTTTTCAGACTGACCCACCCTCTTGTCCAAACTAATAGTCACTTCTTGCTCACGCGATCATGCTGATCGAAATGCTGATTAGTCAAGCTTCGCATAAAGTTTTGAAACAGGGTCCCAGCTCATTCTAAATGTATGAAGATTTTTCTAAAGCTCACATTTTACATCATCTTTTATAAAAGAAAATGAAGGAGCAAGAGCATCAGTTTACGGATGTATGGGGGTTATGTGGCAGATTATGACTTTAAAAAAAAAAAGGTGCAGTAACTTGTGATGTGCATGTGCTGTAATTACCACACGTACATGTCATGGATATGCTTCTGTCTGCTTGGACTGCTTTCTGTTTTCTCCAGCATGTTTTTGGCATGTGAGGTGTTTGTTGTTAATACAGACATCATGGAGCAGGTTTTCAAACAAGCTCAGTAAAGAACAGTAGCTCACCCTGCCTCTGATAATGTCCATGTGGACTAAAAGAGAAGCCAACTCCAGATCCTCATTGTAGCTGTTCTTCAGAGGTACTGACCGGTAACCTGGTACAATACAACAGACAGAAGCAAGAGGCTGTTTATCAGAGCACTAATTTGCAAAAAGCTCTAGTTTCTTGCCAGAGAACACATTGTTGAACACGTACCTGTCTTGAGGCCGTGAATTGGGAATGTAGCCTGAGCCAAGAAGTTTTGGTCACTGAACATGTCAATCTCATAGACCACAAAACGGAGGAAGGCAAAAGCAGAGTTGCACACTGTGAACTGGAATGGCTTTCTCGGCCATGTGGGATTCAGGCCGTTATCAGCTGGAGAAGAGAGAAACAGGCAGAGGTTTGTATACCCCATTGGTGTCATTTCAGCAGTTAAAAACACTCCCTCTGAATAATTTTCTCTAGTTATGTTACTAAATAAAAACTGCATCACAATGTTACACATAAAACTTCAGCGTAATTACACAGAAATAAAACCTGTATCCAAGTCCATAAAGGAATTTTTTTTGCCACAAATAAAAGCAGAAACAACAAAGGAACCTACACACTAGCTAGTTTGTTATCTATGCTGTATAAAAGATAAGTATATCACTGTAGAATATGAGATGAGTTCACGTCAGAATCAGCTTTCTATAGTGGAAAAAAAAAAACAGTCTGTTGACTTGGTTATAAAAAAGTGTCCACATCAAACTGATGGTTTAAAAAAAAGTCTTCATATCTTTAAAGATTGATAATCTATAGAGTGTGCACACAACACAGAAAAACGCATAAAAGACTACATAGGGGAAGAAGTGCTTCCAAGGTACACCACTGTTTACTTTCCCCACACACACAATAATGAGCACTAGTAAGATTATACATTTTAAACATCAAAGTATAGGTTAAAGTCATCTTCCTAGCACCAAACAGAATGCCAAATTATGTGGCAAAAAAAGAAAAAAATCTAGATGCATAAGCATCAAATCAGTGTTTCTTAAATCCAGACAGTGAACCCTGATGAGAGCTGTGCCACAATTATGTCCCCGGTACGCATAGTTTTCCCTTTGTTTTCCCACACATGGCTTAGTTGTTTGTACAACTTCCTGTTTTTCTAGGACCAGATCGGAAATTGCACAAGGGTAATGTATCCAGTAAACAGTAACTACTCATTTTTTCAGTTTTGGAAGCGTGCTTCTTTACTGGCAAAGAAACCCACGGTCAGAGCGCCACTCACCTTCTGAGTCTGTTTTTTGCTTGGCGCTGTCGTACTCTGCTCCGCACACCTCGATCTCGATAAGAGGACAAACGATGCCGCGTCCGTGCTTGGGCAGGTGTCGCGCACCCAAGACCTTCAGAAGAAAAATAGAAGAAGAAAGTTCCCATCTTTAGAACTGCTCACTTCATGCATTTTGGCACATACAGTTGAAACGAGAAGCTTACATACACTGTATAAAAAGACATATACCCTTTTTTTCTCACCGACATAAAATCAGACTAAACTTTTTCCTGTTTTAAGTCAGTTAGGATTACGTAAATTATTTCTATTTGCTAAATGCCAGAATAATGAGAGAGGGAATTTTTATTGGATAATTTTTTAATTCTTTCTTCAAAGTCCTTAGTATGTTTAGTATTTGGTAGCATTGCCTTTAATCTGTTTACTTTGGGCCAAATGTTTTGGGGTTTCTTCCACAAGCTTCTCACAATAGTTTCCTCGAATTCTGGCCCATTCCTCCTGACAGAACTGGTGTAACTGACTCAGGTTTGTTGGCCGTTTTACTCTCACATGCTCAGCTCTGCCCACAAATTTTCAACAGGATGAAGATCAGGGCTTTGTGATAGCCACTCCAAAACACTGACTTTAATGTTCTTAAGCCACTTTATAACTAATTTGGTGGTATGCTTAGGGTCATTGTCCATTTGGAAGACCCACTGGCACCCAAGGTTTAAATTTCTGGCTGATGTCTTGAGATGTTGCTTCAATAATTTCACATGATGTTCTTTCCTCGTGATGGCATCTATTTTGTGAAGTGCACCAGTCCCACCTGCAGCAAAACACCCCCACAACATGATGCTGCCACCCCCGTGCTTCATAGTTGGGATGGAGTTCTCAGGCTAGCAAGGTTCCCCCTTCTCCTCCAAATGCAACAATGGTCATTATGGCCAAACAGTTCAGTGTAAGTTTCATCAGACCACAGGACATGTCTCCAACAATGAAGGTCTTTGTCCCTGTGTGCATTTCCAAACTTTAATCTGGCTTCTGTATGTTGCTTGTGGAGTAATGTCTTCTTCCTCTCTGAGTAGGCTTTAAGTCCATGTCGGTACAGGACTGGTTTCACTGTGGACAATGACACTCTAGTTTCAGCAGCATCTTCACAAGGTCTTTTGCTTTTGTTCTGGGGTTGATACGCTCATTTCGCACCAAAACACTTCATCTCTGAGACCCAGAACCCGTCTCCTTCCTGAGCGGTATGATGGCTGGACATTCCCATGGTGTTTATACTTGCATATAATTGTTTGAACAGATGAACATGGAACCTTCAAGCATCTGGAAATTGAACCCAAGGATAAACCAGACTGGTGGAGGTCCACAATTCTCTTCCTGATATCTTGGCTGATTTCTTTAGATTTCCCCATGTCGTCACAAAAGGAAGCAGTGTGTTTGAGGTGTGTCTTAAAATATATCCACAGCTGTGCCTCCAATTAACTCAAATGTTGTCAGTTAACCTATCAAAAACTTCCAAAGCCATGACATCATCATCTATTTCCCAAACAGTTTGAAGGCATAGTCATCTTAGTGTATGTAAACTTCTGACTTTGAAGAAAGTAGTAAAACACTCGCTCTGAAAAAAATCTCTCTCTCTCATTATTGTGGCATTGAGCAAATAGAAATAATTTAGGTAATCCGAACTGACATAAAACAGGAAAAATTTGGTCTGATTAAATGTCCGATAGTGAGAAAAAAAGGTTACATGTCTTTTTATACAGTCTATGTAAACTTCTGATTTCAACTGTATATACAAACAGATACACTGTGACCCTCCACTCACAACTCCTCAGAACTTCTGTGTCTGTTTAACTTCCATTCAGGGTATGATCAAACTTTTGGACCTGCAGTTTCCACAATTTGGTGTAGGGGTTACATAGACTCAGCTAGCAGTCAGTTAAAACTTCAGTCATGCTACATACATTTTGGTCATTTGGTACCATTTAAAGTATGACACATCACCTGTTTAACAGTGAATGTTGTCAGGGTACTATAGGTGAAGTGAAAGGTGTTAGCTGGCTCAGTTGGATCTTTAAGGTAAGCCTTTAAGGTAGTTCCTCCATAGTGAGACTCCGAAATTAATGTTTGAAAGAGAACTGTCATAGAATTCCCTTGACACTAAAGAAAACTTTGAAACATGATGATTCTCAGGCAAGTTCTGATATAATTAGAGGAGCTTCCTTTTCTAAGTTGATTTATACATGGATGCATTGACATTTATTTATGATGGACACTGAAGACAATAACATCCATGGGAAGAGAAGTTACCCTAAATGTTAAAATACGAGTATTATATCTGTAACTTCAGATGAGACTGTGGTATGACTCCAAGAACTAGTGAACATTTGTATACAAACTGCAGCAATCAGCTGCTAAGGGTTGTAAAATACCTCAATTGCCTCTCTGAGCCGCATATTGCAGCCACTGCGTCACCTGATGACTGTGTTGATAAGTGGGGGGAAAGTCGAACAACTAATTTGCTGTTATTTTCAAAACACCAGCATGCAAATGTAGCATTAAGCTTATGCAGTATTCTATCTCACGTCTCCTTCTCTCAATCGCCCCCCCGGTCCACCCTCAACTGTACCTCGATCTCTAGAGTGACTTGTTCGAGGCCTCGTAGTGTTTGTCTGTCAAAGGGATCGAAGTTGTCGTCCCTCATGATGGGCGGCTGAAGGACGTAGCCACTCCTTCCGTTCAGCATGAACAGCGCCTGGTTCATCTGCATGGGCTTGTCTGCATTTGAGCAAGAGAAGGTTAAACAATGGATCAGGAAGGTATAGAGTATAAAAAATAAGAAGAGATCTTCTGTCTGCGCAGCTTTATCTGCTCTGAAAAGAGGGTAAGATACCTGCTGTCTGGAAGTTAAGTGCTACCAGCTGCGACCCACAGAGCCACATGGGCAACGGGTCATAGTTAGAAGAGTCTAGTCTCTGGCCTCTGGGGTAGATCCTGGACAGCTGCAGTCGATTGTACTGCAGGAACTTCTTCCCCTTGATCTTGTTGACGTACTTCTCTGCCTTGGTCTCGGGGAAGGATGACATGTCACGGAAACAGGCCCGCTCTGTGCCAATCTCTACGGAATTTAGAGAGAAAGGACAGCTCTAATTTCAAGTACGGGCACTGGATGTGCTTCCCTTTGGATAGTTATGTCTATGGTATGTAACTGTATGTGCATAAAACTGCATGTCTGAAGTCCAGTGAGTGTATACAATCCTTACTTTCTTCATCAAATGGCACAGGCCTACAGTAGATGACCAGATCTGATAATTCCAGTGCAATCTTCTTCCTCCTCTCCATCATCTTCCCTTCCTCCAGCTGGAGCACAAAGAGACACACAAGTATAAATACATCACCAACGGCAGCACCCATCACTTCTTAGTTTCTATGTTCACAAAACGAAGCTTGAGGCTAATGTACGCTGAGACTTTCCTCTTTCCTCAACAACTACTGCTGCTCAGGTAGTTGTATTAGACATTACAAGACACAGATTACAATACTTGCAGGTGTGAGAGTGTAACTGTGAGTCTGCAGAGTTATATTCCTTGCAAACCCCATGTGCTCAGTCAGTGTTTTTTATGGGCATTATAAGGCAAGCACAATTGATAATTAGGTCTTTAAAATGCCCTGTGGTATGAGAATAGTATGAGTGCATTCCCTGTACGGCACATTATATGTATATTTACTTTGGCCTCTGTGGTCATGGTGACCTCACGGATCTTAGCCACCCATTCTTTGAGTTCTTCTGGGCTGCTGGCAGCGACGTCCAGCACTGGGCCCGTCCGCATAGAGGTATTTGGCACCAGGGAGAAAACGTGAGGCCTGCTGCCCTTCCCATCAGGACGCACAACTGAAGAGAAGACAAAGAAGAAAGATGAAAAAATAGGAACATACGGGACAAACAGGGTTTCACTGTGTCATTTTAACTTGATCTGGGATTTTCTTGCAATAAAAATTTATTCAAGTGAAGTCTTTCAAAAAAATCAGAAAAAATCTTCAATAGCAAGAAAACAATATATTGCAAATGATGATTAGCCTGAGCTCCACTTGTCTCTTGGCTAGAAGCAGCATAATTCATTATCAACTGCTAAATTCATGCAATCCATTCTAAAATCAGACCAAGAATCATCATTATCTGGAAGCACAGATTGTTTCTGTGTTTAAACCTCTTGGTGAGCTGAAATTTCATTGGTCATGGTTTCAGAAATGTCAGAGACACACAGGGCTAAAGTTGCAGCAGTGAAGCACAAAAGCCAAATAATGTGTACACGACACAAATAGCAGTACTGCCTTAAAGTTTCAGTGTCATCACTTTCTCCAGAGGAAAACAATGACTTCAACTGGTGGTATTCCGTCAGAGGTCCTCTAAAGGAAGCCTCGGAATAAAGTGTTCTTGAACATATAATTAGGTCATTCTCATACTCCCACTAGATGGAGCCAACGGCCACCTAAAGGCACAGAAACTGTTTCAAGTATTAACTGTGGTTAGCAGAGGCTACAGTGATGCTAATAGCATGTGCCAACACTAATGGATATGTATTGACTGAATGGAAGGATGTCAATAAAATTCCAGATACAGAGCTGTGAGAACAGCAAGAATACTAATAAAAACATATGAAGCAGACTAAATAAGAAAGAGGCTGATATTGGGTAAAAAACACAGTAAAAGCAGTGCTGACTTTGAGCTTTTGCAAGTAAAACCAAGCAGTTAGTAGATAATGTTCATGCATAAAGCAGCTAGAAAAGCAGGCTGCCCTCTGGCAAGGTGACTGGATGCTCTGCAGCCCTGCAGCAGAGTCCAGCAGGACATGGAGGGGCCGCTCACCGATCTGACAGGAAGACACGTCCACACTTCCTCTCAGTAGATCTCCCAGAGGGCTGTTTTCTGTCATCTCCTGCTGGACAGAAAAGAAAGGAATTATTTAAGAAGTTGTCTCTTTTTTTTTTTTTATACAAGCGATAATTACATATGTATCTCTGTAAGAGTGGACATCTGACAGACGAGAAATGAGGCCTGAATCTCCCAGCGGAGGGAGCAGGTGCACTCATTTCACTTTAAATCTAGGAATGCGTTGCTGTAGCCTTCTCTCATTTAGTGGGTTTGATCCTCACAGTTCTGTCAGGCTCTGCTGCTGATGGACTGATCTCCTCCACGTAGTTGGCAGGAAACCACAGCTGCTTTTTCCCTCCACAGTCACCCTTCCACCTGAGAAAAAAAGAGGTGAGAAGATGAGTTAAGAAGAGACTGGGATGTGGTTTTGTAAATATAACACTACAGCCTTAATATGACGCCGTCATTGGCATTGTAAAAATAGATTTCTAGCTAATCCCATAGTTCTCTACCTGCATCATTCAGCCCTGACCGTGGCTCTCTCGCACTACACAAATATGATCAGTCCAAATGGATAATTAAGAGCTACTTCCTGAATGGATTTTGTGCTGCTCACTCACCATCCTCCTTCCTGTTTGTCCACATTAGAGATGATAGCATTCTTGGTGAAGGAGAGCTCATCGTCTCTTTGGGCTTTATACTCGTACATGGCTCTCACCGTGCACTAAAAACACAAGACGGAAAGTTGGTGGCACACATATTCACGATTCACGTATGCAAGTCCAAGTGTCGGTGGTGCAGAGTTTAACTACATGTGAACTTTTCCATAATCTCTACTCACCTTGAATGTTGGCATTTGATTAGCCTCCACGTAAAAGCCTGGATTCCTGCCCTCATAGAGTGACCCGTAATCTGGCTCCTATAGGACAACGCATTATGTGTTAACAGGTCTTTTAACTAGACTGCACGGGATTTTACCACTGAATAAAAACCACACAATAGCACAAAATACTATCGTATTTTTCATTGATTGAATTATAAACCCAGATCACATTTCCTGTTCATCAATATCTAGAAAATGTAGTGTAGACTGCATAATGTGGTACTCACAGCAGTGCCTATCTTCTCCAGTGTGTCCTCATTGATGGGATAACGTAGTTTCATTTTGCGGTATAGAGGGTGTTTCTCATAGTAACTTATGAGATCTACAAGACTGTCAAACTCTGAGGTGCCCAGCACCACAGTCTGCCCCTCCTGCTGCACACGACAGTGCTTTATTTTACCCTCGGCCCTGTAAAGAAACCACAGACATAGCTTTACTAAGAAACATATTGTGATGTAATGTATAGTCCTCCTCTACATTCATTCTGGTGAATTAGAAAGGAAGTTAAGTGACGAAGAAATAAACATGTATCAGATAACGAGGCAACAGTAGGGAGTTACCGGAATGAAATGGCAAAGGAGTTAGGTTCTGTCCTCTTCCTAACAAGGAAAGCCCCATCACGAGGAACCCTCATCAGCATGTTTTCTGCATGGCTCCTCGACAGGCTGGCGTGGTACCACCTGGAATGAAAAAAAAAATGGATAACTGCAGTTATGCAACTTCACTACCTATTCATGGTAGATAAGGGTGTTACTGACCAGCCTAAAAGTTAAGTTATTTAAAGTTCACTCAAAAATGGGGAAAAGCAGTGAATCTCTAGTTTCTGGAAACACATAGCTCAAAAAGTGAGAAACAAAACATTACACTGAAAAACCTTAGCAGAACTGAATTTAAAATTCTCTCCGATCTGTGTAAACACTAGTAGACTCACTCCTTGCTCTCGTGGGCATTGGTCTGAGGCACCGGCTCAGTCAGTTTCATCTCAAATTCGTTGCAACGCAGCGCCACCTGCTGGTAATGGTTGATGAGGGCAAAGAGCGTGTCGAACACCAGGTTATCAGTCAGGTAGAACTTGGGGCTGCCAGCTTCCTGACGAGAGTGGATGCGACAGTGCTGCACCCGCCCTGAACGCCTGTTGTGGAGGTGAGTATGATGGAGAAAAAGAAAAGGGGAGAGGTGACCAATTTTGAAAACTTTTACCTACAGTCATTTTTTCCAATTTGTTTAGAGTCTCAGACCAAGTGAAGGCTTGATTCCCCATGTTAACCTTTCACATACTGTGCTCTGAGAATGTCTATACATTAGTCCAACACACTGTATGTAAATCACATACACCCCAATTGATTAGCTGTGAGTTACGTCCGCTAATGCAGAGCTTATGCATTAGCAGACAGAAGGTTACTGAGCACACTTCATACTGTGACTACAACCATGTTCAAATCAATGATGGAGAGATTGACATTGACTGATTTGCCAGTGTGTCACTTTGCTACTTGCATGAATTAACTCGACAAAACACGGAGCACGAATTAACTGACACATGGGAGAGTTTCCAACGAACACATACAGTATACCACAGACTAAGCTTTATATATGCAATAATTAATTTTCAACCAAGAAAATCACATCATAATAAAATGACATGCCACTGTGGCTGTGTTACACACAAAAATAGACAAAACAAACTGCTGAAATCTAGAAACGTCTAGAAAGTACTCAGATATTCTGAATGCTAAGCTCTGTGTACTCTACCAGAAAGACAGCGTGTAGTCTCCAACAAAAGTCTCGCTCTCCCGGACCAGGAAGGAGCCATCAGGAGCTCCAGTCTCCACACAGTACTCAGACAGCAGCCTCTCGGCTATCTGCCGCCCATCCCGCCCGGCACCAAGCTTTCCATGGAACCATTTCTCCGTCACGTGCTGGTCCATACCATTGGACACCTGGGAATTTAAAAGAGATATTAGTAAACTTAAAGCTACACAATTTCAAGTGTGTCCTTATAGTTCCTACTTTCTTGATCAGTTCTTTATACAACGGTTTGATTAGTAAAAACCAAAACTGCCAACGACCTACTTTCGACTTCATAATACTTATGCATAATTAAGTGCAATGTCACGTTCAACTTCAAAATTATTTCTGTGTAACTCAACAGCAGACCAGCCCAACTAACCTCTCTGTGCTCCTCCTCATCATCGTTACCCTGATTACTGGAGGTCTCTTCTGAGTAGTAGATCTTACTGCTGGTCAGGACAAAGAAATGAGGGTACCACTCCTGCAGGGAGAAAGAAAGATAGTTTGCTCAAATGGTCAGATAAAATATTCAAAAGGATCCATATGTTGCACTGAAAAGTGGCCCAAGTAGACGAAGAAAAAGAATCGAAGGTCCCAAGAAAAAAAAAAGCTTCTGAAGTCTAGCTTGGCCATAAAAAAACACAACTTGGTTTTAAAAATGAATGTTGAACAGCTATGAATGGTAAGCTGCAACATGAGGATGTGTCTTGACTTAATTATCACTAAAAACCCTTCAGAGCACAAACAACACAGGTATGACATACAAACTGTCAGTCCTAATGTTCTGTATCATGATGCATCCAGAATCCATTTATACACTGTGAGCATGCTTACATGGTTAATGGGATCTTCCAGGTACAGGATGCCATTTTTGATGGAGTTGCTGATATCGTTCTCTGAGTAGGGAGTGGAGGTGGACACCTCCTCATAGGCACTGCCCTCTGCAAGCTTCTTATGCTGCAGCATAAGGACGAAGGGGGGAAATACAGTCAGAACACGGCATATATATAACATTGTTTTTATTTTATTGTAATGCCTGGATATCTGCTTACATATCCCTTCAACTATCAGTTGAGATTTCAATGCTGTTGTATGTTTTTTTCCTCTTTATGGTGCTATATATTTCTCTTTGAATTTACTTTTACTTATTAGGTTTTTTGGTTGTTTTTTCACCATGTGGGTGTTTTTGTTCACTATGTTCTATGTAGTATAGGGCGCTTTTATTTTTTGGTACAATGCTTTTCTTGTATAAATTAAAAGAAGTAATAAAGATATCTTTTTGAAACGTAAAAAAAAAAGTATAATTTTATTATTCATTCATTCACTTCCTGGAAAGAAAAAAAAACAGCACAAAAGATCAAATGACTTCTCGTGACTCCATGTGGCCCCTGACCTTGATGAGAATCTTCCTTTTGAGCTGGTTGGGTGAGGGCAGGCCGTCTGCCGCGATATCCACTGCCTTGGTCAGCAGCATGTCTCCAAACACCTTCTTAAAGTAAGTGGCCATATTCCTCTGCTGCACAATACTACAGTGGTCCTCGATGGACAGGATGATGGGGTAGCTGTATAAGGATCACAGATAAAAACTCAGAAGAGCTGCAACTTCACAGAATTTCTCTCTTTATATGTGCTCGGGTGTGACTTTCTTATCTTACTTCCTCACACACTACAATAGTGAGTGATGTAACTGCACTGTGTCTGCATTGTTTCTACTGACATTTCTGTGTGACATCCCTTCATCTTTGTCATCTCTTATCCTGTCATCTCTGATGGCTATAAAAAGAAAGAAGAATGGAAACTCACTCGGATGTGACGAAGGCATGCTCTTTGATGGTGGTCAACACATCACAAAACTTGATTTTTGTTGTGAGGGTGTGTCCGTGGTAGATGACTGGCATTCCATCTGGACCATCCCAGCAGTCCACTGAAAAAGAAGCACAGACACACAGATGCATGACACATCATTTCATCCACCACACTGCAAGGAAAAGAAAGTAAGCATACATGAATGCACACGCGTTACAGAGTGACGGAGGAACCTGTAATCTTGAAGATGCACAAACTAGTGACGTCATGTTTGCTTTTGTTTGAGGTTACGCGACCCTTCCACTCCACAGAAAAGCTAATCCTATTCTTAGAAACCTGCTTGACAAGGGTTGGTTTCAAGGCAATGTACAGTACTGTTGTGTAACAGCAGACTTCTGTGTGTGGGTTAGGGTGTGGCGGCTGCATTAAAAGTAGAACTGTGAGGGATAAGGAGCATGCTAAGACAGTTAATTAGAAGGTTGAAAGTCAAGTGTTGGTGATTTACTGTACGTGGGTATAACTCTAGTGTGTGAATGTGTGTTTTCACTCACATTCGATACAGCGGCAGCCCATCCTCAGACAGCGAGCGTACGCCTCCAGGGACGACTCGCTGGAAAACTGGTCTCCTGTCAGGTAGCTAAAAATAAGCACGCAACATCAAAGTATGTACACAAAACAAACTCACATCCAAACAGTCTCTCAAAAGGATTCACATGTCAGGAACTGCACCACAAATGCACACATGCACTTTCAATGGTCGCATAAACACAGCGATACCGCCATATTGAAAGAGGTTTTTTTTCTCGCTTTTGTTGACTGAAATAAATACTTCTTACTCATTCAGTCAGTCAGTCAATTCAAACCTAATCAAACAACATGGGAAATTCTCATTCCGCTGCTCCAATGAGTATTGTTTCACATCGAGTCCAGAAGGTTATCATTTGAACTGCCTTTCACACACTTTTCAATTGGAGGAAAAATACATTTTCCTGCAAAATACACGCCTGGATCACATTCTGGAACATGATTGTTAAATAATACACTTTTATCTGATGTATGAAGTCAGTTCAAAAGCCCTCTGTGGGCAGAGGTTTCAAGAAAGGATGCCAAACTTCAGCATTCCCAGGGCCTAATTACAAGTAGGTGAACTACTTGTATGTATGAATGCCATCCTTACGTGTTGTGCGAAGAGGAGATCCAGTAGTGGGACAGGGGGTTGCTCATGTTGTCGGGACACACTTGGTCCAGGGAGGAATCCCAGACAGTGTTCTCTTTGGAGAACAGGTATGTGAGGAACTATACAAGAGAAAGGAGAGCCATGCAAATTACAGACCACAAGTAATTAGGCCCAAATCCATAATTTACAACTTTTCTTCTAGAGATTCAGAACGCACATTACCTCTACTTTATAGCATTACAAAATAGATGTGACATTGTAAAAATGTAATCCTGTCCTGAAGGCTCAGGAATGTGAGAGGACCATTGCGACGGGCTTTACCAGGTGATAGAACACATAGTTGTATGCGTGGGTAGGAGCCCTCATGCAGGGGCAAACTGCTAGGATCTTATCCAGCCTGGACTACAAGGACCATTGAGTCTGTGCTTGCACCAAAGCTAATCTCAATAAAAAATTTTGTGCCATTTTTAAAAGTGCTTTTTAAATTTAAAAACAATTCTTGCAACACCTCAACAAATGTTCAAACTAAATTCACATCACACGTTTTATTACATTCATCCCCCTAACCGATAAGTAGTGCAACAACTTGCAAATATAATTGCATAAGCATGCATGTGCTGAACACCACCAGCGTGCATAACAGTTTTTAATGCTCTCAAAACCACAGAGCATCTGTCTTGTGAACAAGTTAGCGTTCTTTAGCAAACTGTCAGTCAGAGGTTCGTATTAAACTTAGACCTGATACTTCGTACATACAGAACATGCAGAGGCTTCATATTTTATTTGTTTGTCAGTTACAGTTAAACAGAGAATGATTGGCTTTTATCCAACAAAGAAAGAAAATAACAGATTATCTATGATGTAATAAGTCGTAGTTGAAAGTTCAATGTTCACGTAATATTAAGAATGTTAAGGCTCACGCAAAGTTAACTGGCTATCTCAGATAAAGCATGTAAAGGTGCACATCTTACACGTCTCTGACACACATGGAGCAACCAGTGAGATGGGCAGAGTATTTGCATTCATATCCATGAGCACATCTAGTCTCACAAGTCAAATTTCAATCACCGTTAAACACCTCTTCAGTTTTGACATAACGATGGTGAGCACTTTAGATTCAAGTAAGAATTCAGGCCTTATATCCAAAAGGTACACACTTGGATTTAACTCAAATAAGTGATGTCCCATCAGCATACTAAAATACAGCACTACAATAGAACTATATACTTTACCCTGTAACACTGCTCAGTACAGGCCAACAACAATAATTTGTATAATATAATGTCATAATACTGTTAGATATTTTTGTTTTGCTAAAGCATGACCAAGGCCTGCACACCTGCGATCTAACACTACATAACCTCAGGCACACAGAGCCAGAACCAACTCCTGCAGGCTGGCTCACACCAGCCTCCTCTTCTCTGTAGTCAATCATAACTTTATGGTGACCACAAAAAGCTTCCCTCGCTTTCTGCAGAACTGTCATATGGCGCCGCAGTCAATAACCTTTTCTGTCTGTGTGGGAAGAGATGCTTTAGGCAGAGATCATGGTTATCCATGTCAATATCTGAGCATCTCCCACCCACACCAACAACACAGGGGGGTATCGGAAAACACAACTTGCAAAAACATGCTTACATTTTTTCCATTACTGAGCAAAGACCCAGAAAAGAGCAAGAACAGAATTGAGAAAAGAGGGGGAAAAGAAAGTGTAAGAGGCGGTGAGAGTGCGTGTACCTCGTCTTGTTGGAAATAAGGCTGTTCAACTTCTCTCAGGGGATCTTTCAGGTAGCCAAACATAAACTCCTGAACCTTGTTGTTGTCTGTGGCCCAAATTTCCTGCATTCGTAGATAAACGCAAATGTATTGGAAAATGCAAAATGAAACAAATCTGTCATGAACTAGGTCGACGTCCAGTGATTGACAGGTTACCTTTTGAGACTCCAGGAGGAAGCTCTTGAAGTCCTCAAGGGAGATCCTCTGTTCTGGTCTGTCAGTGAACCTGGCAGAAAAAGCAATGGTTCACTTCAGTGACCAAACATCCGTGACGCAATAGAAAGATTCACTGTGTGAGTATCCAGTTTTGACCTACCTTTGTAGAACTGGGATCTCCACCTGCAAGATGGGACAAAACGGAAAATTTCAGTTAATCAAAGTGCTGTAGGTTTATTGTATAGTACAAGTCATGTAGATGGACACAGACATCCTGTAGGGGGGAGGAGAGCACTGAGGTCATCCATTTAATCTGACCCCAGCCCGGCTGCCTGCCTCCTCAACTGTCTGTGTGTTTGTGTGTGTGTGTGTGTGCATCCTAATGGCCTCCACCACAGGGGTTTGGTGGGTTTTTAACTGGTCCATATTGATCCTGCAGCCATTTGAGAACAGACAGATGGGGGATGAAGTGTGTGCTGGCAGGGCATCAGATGGGGTGCGAGGGGATGAAAGTGCTGGGACTATCTGTGGACACATAAAAAGGACTGCACTTACGTTTCTCTGAGCATCAAACATGAGGCTACGATACAGCTGGGCAAACTGGCTGAAGGACACGTCTCCATTCCTCAACTCAGAGTCCTATGAAGCAAAAAGAGAATCACGAGGGAAAGAAAAATGGCCGTTACCAACAAATCATAAATCTTTAGCCTCTAACAACATCATAGTAAAAGGGAAGTGGGCAGTGGGAGACGGGAGTGTTAAGGGGGTCTGTGATAAGTAGGAGGACGTTACCGGAAGTTTCTCTCGGAGGAACCTCATGTTGGGCACCCTGTAGTTGACCTGGCTCAGCATGCTCTTCAGATCCTTACAGGATATCCTAAACACATACACATGTTTTGTTGAAAAATCAAACGCAAACATAGATACGCACGTACGATGCGCGTACATAGATAGCGCTTCGCCGGGGTGAAACGTGATTTTAAAGTTTACAGACATGCTGAAACCTCTTAAACAGACGCCCTGCATGCTCTGCTGAGTCGTTTTTGGCTTTGCTACGACAACACAGCCTGGAATTTTGGCCAGAGCAGACAATACCCAAACAGCGTAACAAAGGCTTTCGTCAGGGATGTAAGAGACAAACATCTCTGTACATCTCCTCCACTCTGTGCAGTCTGTTTCCTGCTGCAGGAAGAGTTGCTGGTGTGTGGCTGAGAGGTTAGTTCCTTCACTACACCTCAAATGAGCTCTCTCACAGACACCTTGCTCTGGAGGGTAGGCTAAGGAAAGGGCACACAACTGGTGCGCAAAACAATTGAGGTACATCTAATTTCGTCTACTTCTTGCGAGGGTGATCGAATGAACTCTGCAGTTTACAAATTGGAACTTGCCTGTCTTCTCTGTTGCGATCAACCGCGTAGAACTGCTTACGTAACCACCTAAAAAAAAAAAAAAGAGAGATTTAAGAGATATAAAGCATTAAAAAAAAAGAAAAGCAAAGATATGAGCAATAACCACAGATAAATACCAAATGCTGTCTATTCACGCTGCTTTATAATACTTTGACTTTGGATGTGACATGTATTAGTGGTACCTCTCTATCTGAAGTGGTGTTGGGGACTTCAGTGTGTCAGCCACAAGCCAGTTTAAGCCCTTCACCCACATGCTCATCTCCTCATCAGATGTTGCTGAAGAAAAAAACAAAAACAAAAAACAGTTAAACACATGACAGAATTTCAAAGTTTCTTTTGCTAAATTTCCAGTTAAATAATAAATCCATTAATCAAATAGAAAGTAAGAAGGAAAACTGTGACAATCAGAGGTACTAATGGTTAACTCAAGTGGGTTTGTGATGGTTACAAGAAATACTAAAGGTCAACTTTTTCATGCAAGGCATGCAAGCCTCTTTTTTTACCTGCTAGGCTGAGTGATTTAAGGCGAAACTCTGTGCCATACAGAATAACAAAGCAGTGAGCCTGATCCAGTCGTGCTGCTGAGTCCTCCACATAGCGCTCAAAGTCCCGGGATTTCTGTCCAGGACGGATCTCCTTGATTTCTCGAATGTCAACTGAAGAGGCAGACACAAATCCAACAGTGAATGAAACAGAGAGTCACCATTGCCTTACTCATTCAGTTCTATTTCATAAGATACGTGTGTAGAAGAGAGATGAGCACTTTCAAAAGTTTCACAACATTCACTGTCCAGCTTGTAGAAGTACTTGATGAAGGTGCCTGGAGTTAGAATGTGTATTAATATATCAGCATCAGAATTATAACCATCATCTTATGTCAACATGGTCATAACAAGCACAATCTCCAAAAATGACAGCTAAATGAGGTTCAGCAAACTTAACCACTAAGCTATGCATTAGCGGAAAACTAAAGCTGCACAGCTTTACACCCCATTTGCTTGGAAATATGGTTGTGAATGCTGGGATTTTGTAACACACTAAGATCCCATCATCACAATGCCTACATAACAACACTGAATTAACTTCAAGCTTTCTGTAAAACGCTTTCCTGTTTAATTTCATCTGACATTTTTCTTTTCCTCAATGCTGACACTTAACCTGACAGCACACAGACAGTATATGTACGAGTATTTTAAGCCCACTGACCACATAAAACAGTAAAGCTGAGGCCAAGACACAAACCACATATAGATGTACTTCACGTTAAGACATTGCTAAATATGGATTCCATCAACAAAAAAAAAAGAAAAAGAAACATTGAGCGTACCAACACCAAATTAAACCTTGCCTTTTGCCACTGAAATAAACCAAAATACTAATCAGAAAACAGGAGGCTGTGAGTCAGTTCAACAAACCAGTTTGTGAGGGGAGTGCTGTGGTCTGTGCAACATTTCCACTGTTGCACACACATTCAAATATGTGTGAAGTTCATGGTTGAAATTGTTTAATTCACAGTAACTGAGAAAGGAAATATAGCAGTGTATTGGCTTTACTGGGACTGAATGATTTGGGGGAAAAATAACTATAATATTGCAATGTGATGTTTTAATTGACCATTCACTCTGTAATAGATTTAAAACATGACCACCATCAAATCCGTAGTTAGGACAAGGACAGCAGCATCAGACTGTAAAACCAGTGACAGTTTAAAATGCGGGTCAGCTGCACCGCAGAACGTACAAAGTTTGCGGCTATCAAATAATAAGACCTGGCTACATTGAACCATAGTGTTCATGTCCAAACCACATAGTACACATTGAACAATTGTCAAACATGAACAACCCCTGAAGCAGTTTGAATTTTTTAAAAATTGAATTTCAGCATTTTTTTTTCATTATTTATTAGCCCCACCTTGATTTGCTAATTGTTTCAAATTGCAATATAAGACTGATTAATTGCTTAGCTCTAGCTGTTGGACAAGACTGTGCCACTGTTCATCTTAAGTGATGACAACTTGGAAAAAAAAAAAAAAAGACCTGCTACAATTTTGTGTTGACGACATTAATGAGCAAAACTAATGTGTAGGCTCAGCGGGTTCCTATCAGCGTTACATTTGCAGCAGTTAAAGACCTACAGCAGGGACTCTTCTGACACACACTCACACAGACACACACATCTTTCAGCTCCCGCTCCTGTTCTTGCCCCCGAACCACACATCCTGTGCTTTTGTCGCCTACACACCACATCTGTGCTTGCGTATAGGTGAGCATGTGCATACTCTTTTCTTTAGCATAGAAAAAAAACAACAAAAAAAACCAGCATGTCTTCTCACAGAATTTCACCAAGCTGAGCTCTCTAATCACACATCATATCTCAGTTTACTTTACTCGCTATATGGGCCAGCAGACTTCCGCTGAGAGCGCGGCAGATTTGACAGGCCGATCTGTCAGACAACACTTTTCGTCATTTGAGTCAAAATATTTGGAGCCTGCCTCAGACAGATGCAGAGGAAATAAGGAGATGGCCAGAGGTGTAATCTTACCAAAAGAGATGAGAGGAGGTATCCTGCAACACACTTCCCCCCTCCTTCCTTCCACACCGTTTCCACAAGGCAAAACTACTGACAATAAAATACCACTTTTAGACGCAAAGGGGATTTTAATAACAGGCTTTGAGGAATGTTAAGTTTTTTTTTAACATATCTGTTTTTTTCATTTCACAAAAAGAATCCACATCTTCAATGCTGAGCATCGCATGAAGATATGCAGTCTTTCATGAGCTTCAGCTAAAAACAAAAACACAGTGCAGAGCTGAAACAAATAGTCACCAGATATTCTGCTATTTTCTTAACAGTTTCCTCTGATAAGTAAGGACATGCTGCTTTTCTTTACCACTGTAAATAAGGAAGAAAAAAAAAACAAGAAACATTTGTGCTTTGGACTGCCAAATAAAGCAAACATTACAGGGCTCCAAACTGCGACCTTTTTTTTTGAGAGCTGGCGAGTTAAAACTTCAAGTGGTCGCACTGGTGAGAGTACATGATGATTATTAAGCTGTATTAGTGTTGCTGTAACCAGCACAGAAAGCTGCCGTGTTACCCACAGTGGTGGAAAGCAGTACTTTTAGAACTTCGGTGTCCTGCACTATTTACCTTTAAAAATGCCTCTCGTGAAAAACGGAGCAAACCTACATGTGCTGTGTTTTCAGCTCATAGAAGAGGGCGCATGTAAACAAAATCATTCGGTGTCATTTTGGACAAATTTGACATTAGAACGGCCTAGTTTATTCTTTTTAAAGTCATTTTTGGACACACACCATGGATACCAACAGCATCTACCACAGCCTGCGATGTGGGGCGTTTAGGGAACGTCAGTAAATTATAGCGTCTATCAATGAAATGTTCAGCAAAGTCATATGTTTTGCCCGTAGGTAGGTAGGTGGTAGGTACGAGCAAATGAGAAAGTTAGTTGTACACGTGCTACCAGTGAAAAAGTTAGTCTGGAGCCCGACAATATGAGATTTTTACTAATTTTTAAAAAAAACATTCTAGACTGAAGAATTCGTTATAAAAAGGCAAAAGTTGAAAACGTTAAAAATGAAAATAATTACAGTCATACCAGTGTTGGTGCACAGTCTACAATTGACAAAAATTTTATCTAAATCGATGTCAATCTGATCGGAGCACAAGCACATAAGCTTTTGACACATCAGTAATTTGAAGGCAACGCTTGGTAACTGACAGTTTGGTATTTGGTGCTACAGACCAAAAAAAACAGAGGTTCAATCATGACAAATACCTACTGCTCACTGTTCAATCTACATAGTTTGCAGAGGACGGACAACTAAACTAAAAACTAAACAATGTTGGCAAATCACCATGTTGCAATTATTTTGCTGGATATCAATTATGACATAAATTACATTCGAAAAACAAACAAACAAATGACTTCACTTCAGAATAAATAAAAAGATAAAGGTGCATATTTTGAACCCAAGCCAGTACTGCTTCAATCTGAGAACACAAGCAGCTGATATAGTAGTTTTCAAATGTTTCGAGTGACTGTGTGGCCCAAAGCGTGACACTGTTTCACTGTGCACTTCCACATCAGCTGATCCGTATCAGCTCCTTTGATAGCATGTTGGACAAAGTTAAGCAGAAGACTTTCCCTCTGACAAACTACTGCCAAGCAGCTACATGGACTCTGTTCCTCTTTCCAACACACTGTAAATGGAATAAGTCCACTCCACTGTGGAACTGCGCTCGTTTTCCAGTGACAACCTGACCAGGAAAACATTTTTATACTGACAAACAGTCTAAAAACCTGACCGTGTTGCTGTCAACAGTGTTAACGTTCCACCCATGTGTTGATATATTTCTCATACATAACCTGGGCTGATTGCCAAGTGTGTAACAACAAAAGTTAAAGTGTGTCAGCGAAGAAATGACATCAGACGTCTGGGGTGAGAAAGCATGTCCTTTGCGGGAGGTATGGAAAAAGCAGCTCAGAACGATGACAGTTTCACAGATGTGTGCAGGTAATTCCATCCAAGTTTATATGACTGAAAAGTCAACAAACAACGCAAAGATTTGCTCATTTCTTCTTCATTTTCAAATATGTTCCCAGGCTAAAGTTGGTAAAAGTTTACAGCAACTTTTAGTGAGCGCAGGTGGCCTCATCAAATGTTGACTCGGATGACATGCAGATACAGTATGTTGTTTGAAATGTTGGTAAAACTGTATGTTCATATTTCTCAACAACTTACTGTAATAAAAAAGTCCTCTATAAACCCTAACACCACACGCTAACTGCACTAAGGGCTCCATTCCAATTCAAATCAGATCCGCCACCAATGATTCTTTTGATTACAGATTAATCTGCCAATAGATGTTACGATGCTTAAACAATCACACAGCGATTCAAGATGTACATTCTAGTTTCACAGAGTCCAAAGTGGCTTCTTCAAACGCCCTAAAACCTAAAGGTATTAAGTTTAAAATGACTTTCTTTAAAAATAAAAAAGCACATACATGTGAGGGCCAATGTTTTGGGTGATTTTTGCTGGAAAATGACTATAAAAATCAATAAGTCAACTGCTTATTTTTCTGGAGATGTGCTATTAAATTTGCTGACCATTTGTTCCAGCTTTAAAAACAACTCTTGGAATTTGTATCAGGTATGTAAGTGGAAACTACTACTCAGTGCAGTGATGGCAGCATGCCGTCATTGATTAGAAAAATCTGAATTACACTCAGACTTATGGCGACTGGAATTTTGAGGACGATAGCAGCAACATCCAATACTGGTATATCAAAATGTAAACAAACTAAAAATCTTTGGCTCCCTTAAGATTGTTTTTAAAGAAAAGTGACCAAGCTGTAGGAAATTTTACAGATATGAAGATATGGGCGGGGGGAGGAGACACAGACTAAGTAACAGTAACATTTTTACAAACTTACATCAAATCTATGTGGACATGTCTGAAATATCTGCAACACTTTGTCACTTACTGGCCAACATATACATGTGAAATAAGCTGATATCGTGTAGCTATCTACTGACAGTTTATCTTCTAGAAATTAAACCGAGCAAAGGTACGTCATGATGTAAAACTCCTGTGATCAGCATGAAGCAGTCCTCATTGATTTGACACCTTGCCCGCACTGAACCAGAGATAATAAAAAAGGCACAGATACCACGGCAGACAATCGATGGAAAAATCTCTACTTTTTGTAAGATTTCTACCATCGCATGTCTTCATATCCAGTGTTCATCAGTGAAATCAGCTCTGACACCCTGAATGAAAAAAAAAAAAAAACACCGCAAACTAAAGTCCTCTACTTCAGTGCAACTTGAGAAGATCCGCTGATGTGGGTCGACTCCAAGAACGGAGACAGTGGAGGGGGTCTCAACCAGGGCACAAAGTCCAATCATTGCTTGAGGGCGTAAAAACATTTGTGGAAGCTCATTCATTAAAATGATTAAGTAAACTGATTCATATTGAAAGACGATTTTGATTAATGCTCAAGTTGCTTGTTATCAGTGACATACTGAGAAAACAAAAGTTCCAAAGATGGTTTGTATGATACCGAGCACACCACGCATGATGTTTCACTACAGTCTCTTTGGAAACAAACTCTACATTACTTCATCACAGCATAAAGTGGAATCAGCACAAACTTTTCCCCCTTTGAAACAATCAAATTGCGCATGTGAGTAATTCAAACCTTTTTATTTAGGACAAGGCCTGTCTGCACATCTAAACAGTCTGCTACTGCCAATTATTCCGCAAGACCACATCCTGCTTTGTCAAACCAGATATACAATGTTATTGCACCGCACTATTATGCATATCTGCGAGCTACAATTAAATGCTGAGCGTTATTAGGTTGGACGACAGGCAAAGATTTAAAAAAAAAAAAAAAAAACAGCCTGGAGGTAGACAAAGAGCAAAATACACTCAGGTGAAGGGATGGACAGGCTATGCTTCGCAGCGCCTTAAATTTAGCAACAAACTACAGCGCCGGTTCCACAGTTAATGGACGCGATTCTCCCGCTGCCATTGATAAGGGGTAAAAACACCAGTCCAAATTGTTCCCGAATGATCACACACACTTCCAGTAAAAACCCTGATATTCTATTTCTGTACATTAATGAGCAGCCGAGGCCAATTTCACCTCTCCAGGAGTATCAAATGGCAGCTATGAAGCTCATGGGTGTATGAAACCCTTCATTGCTGAGAAGATGATACTGTGTTTAAAGAAAAAGAAAAAGAAAAAAAAAAACTAAGCCTACCATCCTTTTTTGTGTGTGTGGGTGTGTGTGTGCGTGTGTGTGTGTGTGTATGCTCTTTTTGTTGCATCCGGAGCAGAGTGCAGCTGTGCACAAGGCATCCTGCTACCCGAGAGACAGGCAACTTAACGAGTCACTGAAGGCCTGCGTGTCCTCAGTTAGACGTGCTGTTTTGTTGAAGATTAACCTGAACGGCAGCTTCCTGGTAAATTACAGTATATTTCTATTAATGGAACAAAAGAGCACAAGGAAACATTCTTTCTGCTCGTCGTCGACTCTGGATATATTTGTACCCGACATGTGACTTATCTCCTTCTGGACACCAACAGTTGTTCCGTTAACATACACACCTGCGCTTTTAAAGAACATTAAATATAAGATTAAACTTGTAACTGGACTAACAACTTGTGCAGCACTCGGAAACGTAGCTTGGACTTTCTTTTTTGTAATATATCATAACTTCACTGCTGTCTTTTGCTGTTCTTGGAGGCTGCACTGCAATTAGTAACTAAAAATGTGTTTAAAAAGTGCATGTATACATTACTCGTCCTTGTTTCACCACATTTTCTGGCATGTAAAAATCTCCTGAAAGCACCAGCTGTCCCCTAAATATTGTCACATACCTGCTATTTAAGTGTTAGCGGAACTTGAGTTTCACCCAGCTCCTGTAACTTCTGACTTCATTTACCAGCTGTTTACAACGTCATCATGTGAGCTCACAGAATTTTTTGTGAAGTCGTCAACCACCTCGTAATTGTCATATTTCTGTATGTATGCAAACAAACCAGTTCTGGCACCTTCCCAGCTATGACCAGTACTCAAGAGCATCGCTTTGGGCATGTGTGTGTGTACATGCATGTGTTTGTGTCTGCATGATACTCACTCTCGCCCTCTATTTTATCCGTGCCACGAGTCCAGATAATAGTCCTGGTCTCCAGCTTCACTTGAAATGTCCTTCTCTCCGGCCGCTGGGACTTCTTAGAATAAAACAGCGTCAGTACTGTCCCCAACTCCAGGTCTCGGTACAGGTTGTTCATCTCCGCGTCGTTGTCCATCCACGGAACAGGTCCGTTGGAAAAGAAGCCAGAGGTCCCAGCCATGTTCACTTCCCCTGTTTGTTATCCGTTTCCTCTCAGAACAATCTGCTCAGTCCAGGCTTAGACAGGGATACCTACAGCAAGGAGAACAGAGAGGAGAGACAGGAGGGGGGGAAACCCATGAAACAACAATTCTCCTGGGACTACTAGTGTGTCAGCGCTGTGTGCACATTATGCCGCGGCGATGAGTTTGATGCTGTCGGGAGTCTGAAGAAGCACGCTTGGAAATAATACTGGAAAATGTACCATGCGTGCATGTTCACCTGCAGATATGGTGTCAAAAGTATGTGTGTGTGGGGGCATCTGAAATTACTTTTACATTTTAAGAAACACATTTTATGATATAAATGGAAATTTGAGACGAATGAGCATTTACTAAAAGCCTCAATTAAAATCTTTTTGTTGACGTTAAGGCTACAACAGCATCTTATGAGACAGACTTTCCACAAACAGAGACAAAATACTGCCCTGAATGGCACCCATAATGAAAGTATAATATAATACATACGTTAAAAAAACAAAAAAACGTGTATGCTTGGTGAATTAATGTCTACTGTGTGTTTCCTTACTTTTATGCTTTATGACAAAACCTGCAGTATGTGCTACTAGAGCAGCAGCATATACACACAACACAGCAAGAGAATCAAGCTGGAACACTGGGTGCTGACAAAGTTGGCGATTTAAAGCATTTCATAACATACATGGTCTTATTGATTTCTGTACATGCTGTGAGTGAGGTTATTCTCAGTACAATCCCATCAGTAAAAGTACTGAGACTTCTTATTAACAGTGGTGTTAATAAATGATAATAATGATGCTCCCACCAGATAACATTTTTTTTATTGTACCTTCAACCCAGCAGCAGCAGCAGCATGGAGGTAAATTCTCACTTAAACTGGTTTTTCCCAATACGACCAACAGGCCTGTAACCTGCTGCAGGGAAACAAAGTTTGCTTCTTTTTTTTTTCCCTTTTCTTTTCTTTTTTTTTTGGGAGAATACAACTGGTGGCGAATGGCAGCTCAGTGGGAATAACAGTGTAACAAGAACCGTCTGGCTATTTTCACAGCGTGGAAACAGGGGCCGGTGTGTGCTAACGTTTGGCTAGGTTAGGAATCACGGATCGTTTCATACCCACGAAGACGCTCGGCAAAGCTTTAGCCATTCTTCACTATTTCTCCCTGGCTTTTTTTTTTTTTTATAGGTGGGGAATTAAAAGGAAAACAAGTCGCAAGGCAACAAAAAATAGGGCTAGTGTGCTCGAACTACCTACCGCCGCAATCTCGGCCCCGACCGCACATCTCCAACGGCTGAGGCTGCTCCTCTCCCGTCGCCTTTCTCCTGGTTTTTTGTTTTTTTTTCCCTTTTCTTTTTTCTCTCTCTCTCCCCCCAACAACCCCCAACGTTTTCCGCGATTAAATCATCGCCAGGCCCTCGGAAAGCGTTGCGGTCCCGACGACAACAATCCCTGTTTCCTCTTCTTCTTCTCTCCTCCGGCCGTCCATAGAGAGAGGCAAAGGCAGACAGCGAGAACCGTGGCAAGACTACGCAAGTTTGTCTGCTCTCGGATCCAGCCAGCGGCGCAGGCCCTTCCCCCCTCCCCCGAGCGGCACACTGCGTCAAGCGTCCCAGCAGCGCTCGCGCACCCCGCTTCCGCTGCTGGGCCTTCACTATAAAACGTAAGAGTCGGTAGATTCAAGATTAACTTTATTGTCCCAGATGTGGGGAATTTGTCTTGGGCTGTTCACCCATGCTGCAGTCAACACAAGCAGAAACAAACAGGGAAAACACAGTTTAGAAGAAATAAATACATACATACATCAGCTGCAAGGTGGAGTAGTGGTTAGTACCGCTGCCTCGCAGCAAGAAGGTCGTTGGTTCGCGTCTCGGTGAGGACACCCGCGGTTCTTTCTGCGTGGAGTTTGCATGTTCTCCCCGTGCAGCGTATGTTCTCTCTGGGTTCTCCGGCTTCTTCTCACAGTCCAAAAACATGTTGAGGTTAACTGGTGATCCAGCCCACCTGTGACCTGAGTGAGGATTAAGCAGTGTATAATAATGGATGGATGGATACATACATCAGGTAAAAGCAGAACAAAAATGAGTACCATAGTCTAATTTCATGAGTCCAAAACATGGCATTTGGAGAAAAAAAAAGAACGATTTTTCTTATTAGCCTAATTGAAGCCTGTTGACTCGGCAGCGTGGGACTCTGAGCCTTCTTCCAGACGGTACCCACTCATACTGAGTATAGAGCATGTACACCTATGAACAGGTGCAAAGCGGCCTGTTCATAGGTGTCTTGTAGGGAGGGGTGCTCCTGCTCACCTACAATTTTCCAAGCAGTGTGGACTAGACGCAGCAGGTTGTTTTTCAGCTAAACAGAGAGGCTGCCGTACCAAGCTGTGATGCTGCATCTTACCACACTCTCCAGCACTGCATGGTGGAAGATTATCATGATCTTTTTGTCCACCCAATGGAGTCTTAAGCGACGCAGGAAATACAATTGTTGCTGCAATCTGCTGCTCAAGTACTCAACATGTGTGCACCAGGTTAATGTGTTATCAATAGAAACCCCCCAGATACTTACAAGTATCTGGGGGGTTTCTATTGACAGCAAGGAGACTGAAAAGGATGAGCTTTAACCACAGGCTGTCTTGAGTTAAATTATTCTTTTTCTTATTGAAGGCATTAGACTGAAAAAAACAAAACACATGGTCAAATTAAACTACATGTGCAGTGTATCCAATCTTACCTCAGGTCTACCTTCCCACCACAAACCTTCCAAGCTGACAACAGCATTCAAATGGCAGCAAAGCAAGGAGAACAAAGGCGCTCGAGGGCTTTTAAAAGGGTTTCCTCTGTTCTGATTGGCTAACTGGCCAGAGAGTGAGCCAGTCCTCTACTCGTCAAGAGCTCACAGGTGGCAGCCAATCTTCTAATTCCCACCTGCAGGAGAGAGGTGGAGAGGAAGACACACACACAACGGGTGCGTATAGGTATATACCAGGGGTCTCCAATCCTGGTCCTCGAGAGAATTAGTCCTGCATGTTTTAGATGTTTCCCTCTTTCAGCACACCTGATTCAAATGATCAGTTCATCATCAAGCTCTGCAGAAGCCTGATAACGATCCTGATCATTTGAATCAGGTGTGTTGGAAGAGGGAAGCATCTAAAACATGCAGGACTGTGGCTCTCGAGGACCAGGATTGGAGACCCCTGGTATATACAAATAACACTCCAGTATCCTCACAATAGACAAATTACACCACTCCTTGCCTCATAAACAAAGAAATATATTTTAAAAAATGTAAAACTTAAAAAATGAGAATAAATATGTAAGTTCCAGTATATAGCCCATTAGAAAATGCAGTCAGTTTCACAAAGTGTATCATTTCTTGCCTCATAAATAAACAAATGAACAGAGGAAGACATATAATATTAAAAAGCAAATAAAATACATGTAAAAGTACAGTGGTGTGAATACATATATGAAAGTAAAATGTGCATATGTAATGTCATATACATTATTTAGCTTAGACAAGAGAATCCTGTATTAATCCCACAGCATGGACATTTGCAATCTAAAAGCAGCAAAGGGAATAATACAGAAAAAAGAGATGACAGTAAAAAAAATAAAAATAAAATAAATAAAAATCATATTCACAAGTATATTTTATAATATTACTAATTATAACAATTTCAATACATGAAAGCCGTGGTTGCACATAGAAAATTTTGATTTGCACATGGAAATATTGAGTGTTTCTGTATTTTTAAAATGCGGATTTTTTTTTTAGATCTTTCTATACATAGAAAATCTAAATACGGTGCAGATTCCTCTAAATGTAGACAGTAAAGACTTTGCATAGGGTTTTTCTATATGTAGGAACAACAACGATGTAGTATATTTCTTCCATGTACAGAAAATATTTATAATGCACAAGATTGAGCGCACTGATGCTACACCATCAAGACAAAAGGAAACAATGGTGATTAGTAAGGACGCACCTCTAACTGTAACACAGCTTCATTTGTTAATCCAAACCAGACACCAGACATTGATAATGAAGGGTGAGACGTGATTTGACAATTATCAGGTTTTCTGCTCCTTGTGTTTGTTATTTTTATGCAGTAGCTTTATTATCTTTGGTCAATTTGAAGCCATTTGTCACCTCGGTTTGAAGAAGTGACATGTAAATAAAGTTTTGCTGACTTTCCCACTAACTTGTGATGTAAAGTGCACGACTAGATGATTAATTTCGGATATTCTATCTTTAGCCAGTCTTTTAGGCTTAATCAATAGCTGTATGTCTTGCCTCTGGAGGTGCTATTAAATTTCCCCTGTGGTATGTACTGAAATCCAACATCTAAAGGCCTCTTTATGCTGGAGCAAACAAGGGCTTGCGTTTATTGTGGAGAGTTTCCCCACTTCCGGTGTGTCCTTGAGTTCTGTCTCTGGCTTGGCGCATCTCATCCTCCAGCAGAAGCGCCTGTTGTCGGCCTCTTAAAGACACACTCTCCTAAAAACTGAACTTAATAATCAGCTGTCTCCTCAGCATAACCTTTATCACAACTTGTGAAGTCACAAGCAACTCTGTATTTGCTCAGAGCTATAGTTTTGCATTGAAAAGGCATTTATTTGAAGCATTTATCTTAATAGGGATACATGTACAGTCGTCCTCAAATGTATTCATATCCTTCCATTAAAGAAAAAGGAAAAATTCACAGTAGTCACTCAAAAAACTAGAAACTGAAAAAAGTAATAATAAATAAAAATTTGCTAAATTATAATTTAATGGAACAAGACATTGCTTTTGAATTGTGGTTAAAAAGAATAATAATAATAATAAAAAAAAAACAAAACTGTTCTGGGCAAATTAGAGCATTTTGCTGATGAGCAGTGGGCCAAAATCAAAACAGGTGCAGAAGTCTGATTGAGAGTTACAGAAAATACTTGATTTCAGTGATTTCAACAAAATATTAGTTTATGGGTCCCATTGTACTTGCTTTTTTTTTTAGATATATATTTCTGTTGAACCACAATTCAAAAGCAATGTCATCATTTTCATTACATTTTTTATTCATTATTACTTTTGTCAATTTCAGCTTACTTCACTGACAGCTGTTTTTTTTCTCCTTCTTTAATGGGAGGGTGTGAATACAATTGAGGACGACTGCATGTGAAAGTAGACAATAATACTTATAATTGTTGGACGATGACCCCTGACTTGACTGACACCTCTTGATAACCTCTGTCAGTCTTTCTTAGGGTATGAGCTTAAGCGTTTCCCCCCCAAAAAAACCCCCACAACAAAGCAAAGACAAAAAAGGACAAGGTTGATGTTTTATTTCGAAAACTACAAAGCTCAAAACAATAGGCATTCAGCCAGTCGGGATCAGATTATGTGATACATGAACAAATAGCAAGAAATATTAATGACCAAAGTTTAGAATATCCATTCACATTTGGAAATTCAAAGACACTTTCTGCTTTATCACAGCAATACAAAAACAGCACACTACAATGATAGACTTCTGTGATCGTTTTTTTTTTTGTTGTTGTTGTTTTTATTTTTAATTTTTTTGGCAAAACCCACACCCCTCTGTCAGAAGTAACGCACAAACCCTGTCCCGTACTTCCGCTGTTTGAAGTAACCGAGATCAACGTTGCGCCTTCTTCTCCGTAATTGTAAAAACCGAGGACACACAAGAGTTGCATACGAGCAATGAAGAGCTTTCCGTTGACAGCGCGTACGGCACACAATTTTAAAAAACACTGACTCGTGATCACTGTAAAATGATAAAATATATGTACATCCCTGAAATAAAGAGCAAAAATAAATCTAAATGGAAAAAAACGATGACATTCGGAGTGCTAATAAATATGTGAGCATAGTGCTGGGGTTTCTATTTGTCACACTGTCATCAGTCTGCCAGGCTCCTCTTATTGTACCAATCTTTCACACTAAAATTCCACAAATTAAAATTCATTATATTATCATTTGCTCTCATGTTGTTTCTCACAGTCTTCCACACAAACATTCTATGAGAATATAGAATTTCTCAATAAATCTGATGGCTTACAAATTTCAGTACATTTTTATCTGACAAAAGATAATACTAATGTGTTCATAGTTGTTGGATCATGGGCAGATAGCTGCGGCTACATACACACTACTGTAAATTTTCTAAAGAGAGAGACGCTCTTTGTCAGCGTGGTCAAATGGTTCAGCAGTTATTTCTCCTATACACAACAGATCCGTATATACACGACAATTATTAACCTGTGATCACAGCTTCAGCAAAGTCTTAGCTCCCTCTTTTCACAGCGCCGCAGTAACCACACAGTGGATTCATTTGACATCAACTAGAAACCATTGTTACAGTCGAAGGCGTGGGTAGAAAAGGTGTTTAAAACTCATAATCCTTTTCGGCCATGTCAATGGCCCAAGCAAACTTCTCCCTCTGGGTTTTGTTGTAGATCTTCTCAATGGGAACGCCCCACTTCTTGGACCTGGAGAGGAGGAAAGACGGA